GAAAGTAAGTACATTAAAGCATAAAGACATTAAATTAGGGGGTGGCTCTGTGGTGTAGCAGGTAAGCCACTGCCTGCAGTGCCGGCATCCCATATAAGTATCGGACCTGCACCCACATGGGAGACCCAGAAGTAGCTCCAGGGTCCTAATTTCAGACTCGCCCAGCCTCAGCCATTGGGGCCATTTGGGGAGTGAACCAGTGGATAAAAGATCTCTCTTGCTCTGTCTCTCCTCCTCTGTCTGTAACTCTGCCTTTCAAATAAATGAAAAATAAATCTTTAAAATAAAAAAGGAGTTATTTGTAGCCCCATGTGTGTTGTACCTCAATTTACAATAGCTAAGATATTGAATCAACCCAGATGTCCATCAACTGATGACTGCATAAAGGAAATGTGGTGTACGTACACTATGGAATGCTACTCATCCATAAAAAAGAATAAAATCCTGTCTTTTGCAGCAAAATTGGTAAAACTGGATACCATTATGCTTAGTGAAATAAGCCAGTACCCAAGGGACAAAAATCATATGTTTTCTATGATATGAGGTAATCAGCTTAAAACACAAAAAATACATAGGAAAGAAACAGATATCATGTGATTTGATTGTTGTTTTCGGCCTTTGTTTACACTTCTGTGGAATTGTCGTCTTTCTACTTTTCATTTACTGAATATTACGGTTAGTGGTGCCTTAAGCCTGTGATTATAGAGTGGGCTGAAATCATGTTGGTGAAAAAATTGAAGGAAAAAAAGGAATGAATGAGTGAGAGGGAAGGAAGTGTGGTTATCTTCTTAGAACTGTACCAGTGAAATATGTAAAATCTATTCTCTTTACATGAATAATTTTTTTAAGATTTATTTATTTATTTGAAAGTCAGAGTTACACACAGAGAGAAGGAGAGGCAAAGAAAGAGTTCTTCCATCCGTTGGTTCACTCCCTAATTGGCTGCAATAGCTGGAGCCATGCCAATCTGAAGCCAGGAGCCAGGAGCTTCTTCTGGATCTCCCATGTGGGTGCATGGGCCCAAGGACTTGGGCCATCTTCTACTGTTATCCCAAGCCATAGCAGAGAGCTGGATCAGAAGTGGAGCAGCCAGGACTCAAACCAACACCCATATGGGATGGTGGCACTGCAGATGGAGGCTTTACCCACTATCCGACAGCACCGGCCCCTATTAATATTTTTTAAATGTTACAGACAAATAGGAATCCCCTATGTAACACCAGAAGGCAGAGGGTTATGGGCAGGGGAGGATGGTATAGGGATGAAGCAAATCACATTCAAGGTGAGAAAATAACACCTTGGCCTCACACTTGTCTATTATAACTTACTATAACAAGTTCTGTCTACAAGAAAATTAGCAAAAGAAACTGCTAACCAAAATAAAGCAAATAGGAAAAAACACAGTGAATGAATTATCCATGATTCATTCTCTGAAAAATTACTTGAAAATGAAATTCAACAAAAATAAAGAATAAGAAATGCTGCTAAGAACCAAATACAATAAAATATAAAACTAATAGGAACCTACTTTGGAGATTATGGTAAGAAGTCACGATGTTACTTTTGTGTACCTGAACCATGTTAAAATAATAAACAGAATTAGAGATGTATATATGAAAATAGAAAAACTTGCAAACAATATATGTTTGTATTTATATTCCATATTGTGGATATATATATATGTATATCTCCACAAATTTATATGAATAAATTGATACAAGCCATTCATATTTCGTTGTAACTCCCAGGACACACAGTATGATATTTTCATCCTCTGGGCCTTCCTTCTCAGCTTTGATGCAGGTGGTCAAAGAAGGGCAACTACTGGGTCCAGTTCTGAGTATTTATGGCTTCTTCTTACAAGGGAAGTAATTGGGTGCCGTCAAAATCATTGACTAATTTCTAATTCCTAAGTAGAGGTGGAGGGTTATAATTATGTTTGTTAATTTGCCTATCTTAAATATAAAAATAAAAATTACTGGTACAATGAAGCATTACTAAGCTTCATCAAGTTATTTTCGATTTATTGTCAGCTTTAAAATCATGGAGATATTATACTAAACATAGTCAAAATAAATTCCTTATTTCATTTCTCTTAGTCTCTTTCATGTCATCACAAACAATGCTATAACTAGTACTCAAACAGTATTTTTCACTTTATGTTTCTGTGTGGGAGCAAACTGTTGAAATCTTTACTTAATGCATGCTAAACTGATCTTCTGTATATAAAGAATCGAAAATGAATCTTGATGTGAATGGAAGGGGAGAGGGAGTGGGAAAGGGGAGGGTTGCGGGTGGGAGGGATGTTATGGGGGGGGAAGCCATTGTAATCTATAATCTGTACTTTGGAAATTTATATTCATTAAATAAAAAAAAACTGAAAAAAACGGAGATCCAACTAGTGAAAATAAATGATCTGTTTTGTTTTGTTTTGTTTTGTTTTGTTTTTTTTTGACAGGCAGAGTGGACAGTGAGAGAAAGAGACAGAGAGAAAGGTCTTCCTTTGCCGTTGGTTCACCCTCCAATGGCTGCCGTGGCCGGCATGCTGCGGCCGGCACGCTGCAGCCGGCGCACCGCGCCTATCCGAAGGCAGGAGCCAGGTGCTTCTCCTGGTCTCCCATGGGGTGCAGGGCCCAAGCACTTGGGCCATCCTCCGCTGCACTCCCTGGCCACAGCAGAGAGCTGGCCTGGAAGAGGGGCAACCAGGACAGAATCCGGTGCCGCGACCGGGACTAGAACCTGGTGTTCCGGCGCCGCAAGGCGGAGGATTAGCCTATTGAGCCACGGCACCGGCCTATGATCTGTTTTTAAATAAGTGAACTTTGTGAGAAAATGCATTTGAATTAAGTTATTTGAGTCATTTGAGATCGGCTGTATTAAGATAAATTAAAAAGAAGAAATGCAGCCAGGTTTACTGAAAAGCAGTAGTATAAAATAAGCAGTAGTAACACAAAAATATTGATATGTGAAAATATCACATTCATTCCATTAACAGCCAAAAAGAGAAAAGTACTTTCTGACTAAATCTATACAGCCAAATCCTGCATATTGTGCCCACATGAAAACATTTCAAGACTAGCATAATTTCAGAGTTTTTTTTTAATGTCTGGTAGTTTGTTTTAAATTTTTTCTAATATAAACAAATTCATGATTAAGAAAATAAAACATATCAGCTAATAAACCAGAGGAGTAGCTCACATTTTGGAATCAATCTCTACAATCATTCAGGAATTCTCTCATTCCCCCGAAGGGACAAGGGCCAGCAGCCTTCCAATGAAGTCTACTAATAAATTCTTAGAAAGCCTACAACCACCGGCATTTGGTTGAACCTGTAGATGGTTAGGTGCTTTTATACCCAAAGTAGGAAGGAAAAAAATAAGTTTTGTGAACTCTGAGAAAATTCACCCTGGCATTCAAAGAACTTTATGAACCAGAGGAGTTTCAACCCAAGGCAGATGAGCTCTTGCGAGTCCACATGTGCTAGACCTTTCTGAAAACAAAATTTTTGCCAGAACAAATTTTTTAAAAATTGTAGAATGCAGAACTTGACATTCTTGTTCATGAAAGTTTGGACTTTATGTAGAAACATGAAATTTGTGTAAACTATGCTATTGCAAATTGTATGCTTTCCCTAAAATTTAGAATTTTCTTACAGGGATTTTGCTGGCAAAATCTGTTGAACTAGATGTTGTTGCACATTTTGCCATCACATAATATTATTATAAAATAGAGAAATTGAAAAATACTCATTCAAGAGAGGTTGATGCAGCTTGCCCTCCTGTAGATTGGTATCATTTATCGCCTAAAGGAATTTCTAGTAAATTCCACCAATCCAATCATGACACTATACTGATTATGTTCCAGTCACAGCACACCCACATCTGAAGCACTTATCTCACACACATAACCAGTTTTTTAATAGATCAGCAAGAAACACAGTAAGCAATCTTGAGTTTTTAATAATAGATATGACACTTTATAAGTAATATAAATCAGCTGGAAAATTGAATTACCATAGTTAATGATGAATATAAAAACTATTATAACCATATCTGAAATTCCTTCTAATAGAATAAGGTAGGGACAGAAAAGCTGAAACATGATACACCTAAAGACTAAAGTAAGCCATGCTAAAAGATACCCAGTTGCTTCATGGGAGACTTTCTCTTAGGGCTTTTCTCTCTTAAAGAGTGCTGCTGTTCTCTATATAGTGAGGGATTATTGGGATATGGTGGTGAAGACAGAGAAGGAAAAATTTCGAAAGTGTTTCTGAGCACAATATTCTGTTACAGTTATGATACTATCTGTGGCCTGAGCTAAATGCACAGGGAAAATATCCAGAATTGGTCAGGACCATGTGTCTTCCAAGGTGCTTTTCTGTGATGGGTTTTTGAAAAGATTTATTTATATATTCGAAAGGCAGAGTTACAGAGAGAGAGGAGGGACAGAGAGAGAAAGATCTTCCATCCGCTGCCCAAACGCCCTCAATGCCCAGGACTAGACCAGACTGAAGCCAGGAGCCAAGAGCTTGCTTTGGGTCTCCCACATGGGTGCAAGGGCTCAAGGACTTGGGCCATCCTCTGCTGCTTTCCTAGATATGATAGCAGGGAGCTGGATCCGAAAGTGAAGCAGACAGGACTTGAACCAGCACCATGTGGAATGCTGGCACTTCAGGCGTTGGCTTTACCTACTGCATCACAACACAGACCCTTGGACGTTTTTAGGTGTCAACCTGGCTGGTTTATAGGGTGTCCGGATGTTTGGTCAGACATTTTTCTGGATGTGTCTGTGAGGGATTTTTGGCTAAGATTAGTATCTAAATCTGTAGACCGAGTAAAGCAGGCTGTCCTCCTAATATGGAAAGGGCTCATCCAATCAGACGAGACCTCAACAGAACAAAAATGCTGATCTGTCCGTCTAGTAATGGAAATACCCAGCTAACTGCAAGCACTGAGATATCTGTGTCTTCTTTCCTTCAGAGCTCGGAAATGCAACCTTACCTCTGCTGAGGTCTCGAGCCTGCTGCCTTTGGTCTGGAGCTCCCACCATCGGGTCTCTTGATTCTCTGCCTTCAGTTTCAGACCAGATTCTCACTGCACTAGCTCTCCTTAGTCTCTGGGTTGCACACTGCTGCAACTCCTAAGACTTTCTAGGCTACAAACTTATCTGAATTAATTCTTTATAAATCTCTTTCTTTCTATTTACATTCTGTTGGTTCTATTTCCCTGGAGAACAATGACTAATAGAGTTGATAATTGCTTTCTAATCAGCCAATGTTTCTAGAGGCTGTGTTATTTAACAAATAATGTAGTAAGACCCTTGCATGACTATTTATGCACCAGTGTTTTTCCCTTTTAATATATCTATGTTTATTCATAGCAAACACAGTTGTTTACATTTATGGAGTACAGTGTGATATTTCAACGCATGTATATAATATGTAATGATCAGATTAATTAGCATACCCATCGCCCCATTCATCATTTGTGTTAGGAATATTCCAAATCCTCTCTACTAGCTATTTTGAAACACACAATTAGTTGCATTCAATCAGATGCCTCACCATGCTACACCACATTGGAAGTTACCTTTCCTATCCAACTGTAGCTTTGTGCCCAACAACCATCCTTCCTGGTTGGCACTCCCAGAACATGTTGATAAGAGCAGTGAAAAGGATCCGTTGTCTGGTCATGAGCAGGTGGTTTAATTTTCACATATTTGAATGATTTCCACAGTTCCTCTGGTTGATTACTAATTTCATTCCATTGAAGGATATAGACTGGCTGAATGGGTAAAAACCGAGACTCAACTGTGTGCTTCCTACAAGAAACTCACTTCAGACACATATTAAATAATGATAAAAAAAATCAATACACTCAAAACCATACCACCCAAGTATGTAAAGCAAATACTATTGATTCTAAAGGGAAGTGAGATTGCACAGTAGTCGCTGGGAACCTCAATAGCTCACTTTTCACTGGACAGTTCATCCAGACTGAAACTAAGGAATGAAACCCTAGAGTTTAACTATGCTACAGACTAAATGGAAAGCATTATGAAACACTTATCCCAAAAGAAAATACATTCTTCTCTTCAGCTCATGGGACATTTTCCGAAACAGACTTTACATTAGTATGTGAAAGGAGTCTCAACAAAGCACCCATGCTTTTCAACATTGCTATGCATACACATTCCCAAGGATCCTATTAACGTGCAGATTCTGAGGTATTAACTAGAGCTCTGTATTTCTGACCAGATCCCAGGTGATGCCAATGCCAATGCTGTATATCCATGCACTACACTTTGAGCAGTAAAGATTTGGAGACTTCATCTTAATTCAAAGTAACATGACTGGAGACTCCTCTTTTTTTTAAGATTTATTTATTTATTTGAAAGACAGAGTTACACAAAGAGAAAAGGTAAGGTAGAGGGAGAGAGAGACAGAGAGGTCCTCCATCCACTTGTCCACTCCCCAGATAGCCACAATAGCTGAAGCTGAGCAGATCTGAAGCCAGGAGCCAGGAGCTTCTGTCATGGCCCAAGGCCCCGGGCCATCTTCTACTCTTGTCCCAGGCCACAGCAGAGAGCTGGATCAGAAGTGGAGCACCTGGGACTCGAATCAGCATCCACATAGGATGCTGGCACCGACCGCAGGCGGAGGCTTCACCTGCTATGTCACAGCGCAAGCCCCTGGAGACTCCTCTTAGCCCAGCAGTCTCTGTTTCATCATTTTCAATCCTAGTCTTTTTTCGCTAATTCAAGACAAAGGCATAGTTAGACTATAAATCAAGAGGTCATTGTGAGGGAAATGAATGTCACTCACAGTGGTTGGTCTCTGTTTCTGCTGTCAGCAAGCCTCAAACTGGTGCCTGTCTGTGCATGAAGAAGAAAAATAGAAGTGGATAAAAACAAAAGCATTTCCCTTTGGGCAGAGACAATCCACTGTTCCAAGTACTATTTTCTGGCTACCTAACTGTGGCAGGCAGAGCTCTGTCCACCAAGTGGAACTAAGTCTATGCAGCAAACGTTTGCTTTCTGAGAACATCCCCATATCAATGCCTCCTTTTGATAAGGGTCTAAGCTTGCTTACCTATCTCATCAGAACAGAGTAATATGCATTTCCGAGTTACTTTAGTATCAAGCCTATCAGCACAACAAATTGGGCCATATATTAAAATGTCACTTAGCCAATTTTGGAGAGGAAAGCCTTCATTCAGACCATTCAAATATCTTCCTCAAAACCCACATTGGAGATAATAGAAAAGGAAATGCCATCTTCAGTTTTCCATTTCGTTTTAGGTCAAAATTTTACAAAAACATGTCTGGGTCTTGACAAAAGCACCTGTTTTCGCCATAAATGCTACCACATATTTACCCAGTAGACACCAAGTTAATGAAACATGAAAATATTTCATCATGAATGTCAGGAGGCAGCTGCAACTTTTATAAGAAAAAAAATATGTTCTGTTTTATCCAGACTTCTAAACAGTCAGCCGCATGATTAGAAATAGCAACCCAGGTAAGAAGACTGGGTGTTTCATTGGATTCATTACCAATTCTTTGGACCACACAGTATTTTGAACCTTTTTGTGACAGAAAATATCATGCAGGTGTGAAACAAGGGAGTTGAAAGGTGCTTTCACTCACTTTACATTATGAATTCCATCCAGTGAAACCTCTCACTTCTGCTCTTTCCTTTTAACATCATCTTGACTTTCTCATTTCCTCTGCTGTTTGGGTAGGTGTTTTGACACTTGACACTTTTGAAAAGAACAAAACAGCGGAAGGTTTTTCCATATAGACACCTCTCTGGTTTCTAATACTGTGCAAGAAAGAACCATTATAGAAAACCAGAGGTTCTAATTGGAGAATTTTCACATATGTGAAAGGTGTACCACTAAATCCAGACTGTGTACAACGTAACATTTCTCTGATGATCTGAAGGGCTCTTAACATTGCATGGCAGATGTGTGGAAGAACTGGTTAATAGTACAGTCTACCTGATTAATGCAACACGACATTTTTACTGAGTGCCAAGGCAGTAATGGGACCCAGTTGCTCGATTGCTAAAATAAAATGAGTTACTAGCTCATGTAGGTATTATCCAACATCTGGATCATGCTGTTTCTCAAATGGAGAAAAATAATTAAGCTAATGAGTTAGAGTTGCTCAATACCATATGTGTGTGTGTGTGTGTGTGTGTGTGTATACACACACATATACTGGGGGATTTAGGTAAATAACCTCAAAGATTCAGGATGGTTAAGTTTCTAATGTCTTAAGAGTAGAACCAGAAAATGGATGTGTATCTGATATATTGAAGAAGTTGGTGCTATTGAATCAATAGTTAAAGCATTTTAACCCTGTATGTACACTCTTCCCTTTGTCCTATATTCTCACATGAATATCACAAGCAGTAACTCATATTCTGTCCTTGATATCTTCACTTGTTAGACAGCAAGACATTTCAACAATAGCATAATAGATTTTAAAAATCAGATTTTTGTGGCTACTTAATGAAAATAGCACTTCATAGCAATTTGCATTAAAAAAATTTATGAACTCATAAAAGAGAAGTGAGCCAAGATTTATTCAATGGCTGCATGTGTCTCCATTGAGGAAGGCACTTCATATGCATTATATGCATGATCTCAATCACCACCAAAATCTGTACAGCAGGTATTAATTCCACTTCCCAGATAAGGAAACACAGCCTCCAAGAGCACTAGTCACATATACAGGTAAAATACAAACTCATATCCATGTGATTCTAGTACATTGTTTATAACATGCTCTTATCACACAAGTGATCAAAGTAAGCTTTAGCTTGCTCTTTGATTTACATGCATTCATTTAGCTAGTTATAAAAACAATGTAACTCTTGATCAGAAACAACCCTGAGGAGCCAGTGTTACGGCACAGCAGGTTAAGCCACAGCCTATGGTACAGAGGTGCCAAATGAGCACTAGTTTGAGCCCCAGATGGTCTCCTTCTGATCCACCTCCCTGATAATGCACCTAGAGAAGCAGTGGAACATGGCCTGAGTCGTTGTGCCCCTGCTACCCATGCAGACGACCTGAATGGAGTTCTAGACTCCTGGTTTCAGCCAGCCCAGTCCCAGCTATTGTGGCTAATTTGGGACTGAAATAGTAGATAAAAGATATGTCTCTCTCTTCCTGTCTCTCTCCTCTTCTATGTGTAAGCACATACATGTTTTTCTTCTCTCTTTGTATTTCTGCCTTTCAAATAAAGGAAATAAATTAAAAAAACGAAATAACACTAATATGTGCATAAGCATTATCTGTAGTATTACCACACAGGGATAATAAGTGATAATATTGAATTGGATTATATAAATTTAAGTTTTACAAACCTAGGTTCATAATGTATGTGTGCTTTGTAATCAGTATTTTCACTTAATATGCCATGACCATTTTAGATGTTATTCTTGAAATACGATTTTCATGACTTCATATTACTCCATTTTATGAAGACACTATAATTCAATGTGTTCCTCATCATTGAACATGTCTGTTGTTTTAAAGTATGATCATTCTTTAACAAAAAATATAAGAACACAATGTGGTATAAGGAAGACAACTTGGCACTGAAAATACAGAACGTTGAATGCTTTTTTGTTATCTGCTGGTTCTGAAACATTAGGAAAGTCTTTTAACTTTGTGGTATTGATTTATATCGACAAAATAAAATAATTGGAGTAGGAAGCCCATTTTACATATTTTAGGTTCTGTGATTCTAATACTGTATAAATTATTCTAAAATGCTGATGTTCAAACTGAGGTATTTGTACATACAAAGACACACTGGGGCAGGTAAGTGTCACAGATTGGATCACTGTCACAGGTTTCACTTCCTGGTACATCTGATCTGCTCAACTGTTGTTAAAATGTGATTTTGACAAGTACTAATGTATTGGAAAGTAAAATGTAATATTCTCATAAATTTTGCTCTCTGAAGCAGAAAACTTCCACATATTGAACTACAATACCCCCAAAATATATAATGTTCTGCTGTGTTGTTAGATACAT